ACGCGTACGATGCGCTAACCCTAACGGAACCACGTCGGACGCGTCAGCTGCTTCGCTCCCGAGCGCGTCACCATCTCCCGGTTCGTCGCTTCAGGACCTGACCTCTGAACAACCAGCCGACGTTTCTTCGTCTCTTCCTGAAGATTATGAGGTTGTGGAGGAGCTCACGGCGATAGAGCGCAAGATCTCGCTACTGCAAGAGAGCGATCCCGCTTCGGATCCCACGGACGCTCCCGCTGCTCCCGACGGTGCCCCAACCGAAGGTTATCGTCTGGTTGCTTTATCTGCCATCGAGACACTGGTGTCCGCTCTTCTGTGCCCAGTGTGCTGTGGATCAGACCTTCAGCTAAGCGAGAGTGGCAAGGGAGTTCAGGCGCAATTCGTCGTCGTCTGCCCAGACTGCGGGGACGTTGCTCGGACGCCGCACTCGTCGACCATCGGACACTCGCGGCAGAATGAATTGGCAGCACGGATTTCTCTTGCGTCTCGTGAATGTGGAATCGGATACACGAAGCTTACAAACTTTTTTGCCGGTATCAATGCTCCTTCGCCCATGCATCTCCGATCTTGTCAAGATCTGGGAGAAAAGGTCCACGACGCCTCAGTGAGAGCAGCCAGCAACGTAATGAGCAAGGCAGCAGAAGCTGTACGAGAAACACGCGAGTCAGATAGCGGCGATTTGATGGACGTTTGTGTGACATACGATGGCACTTGGCATAAGCGTGGGCACACTTCACACTTTGGTGTTGGAGTTGCCATCGAGCTTGAGACTGGACTAGTTTTGGACTATTCTGTCCAGAGCAATTATTGCCATGGATGTAGCCTTGGACCTGCGCAGGGATCTGACAGCCATGAAGACTGGGCTGAAAATCACAGGGCAGTATGCCAGAAGAATTTTGCTGGGTCTGCAAATGCGATGGAGCTGCAAGCAGCAGACGAGATCTTCCGTCGGTCCGTCCAACTCCACAACCTGCAGTATGTGACAGTGCTGTGCGACGGGGACAGTAAAGCCTTCAACCATGTTGCGGGACTTGATCTTTACGACAAGGGCATGAGGAAAGAAGACTGTGTGAACCACGTCGCCAAAAGAATGTATGCTGGCATGGAGGCCCTAAAGAAAACAAAAAAAGGTCTCGGTGGAAGGGGCAAACTAACGAACCTTGTCATGAAGAAATTGACCAGCTACTATGCATCTGCACTGAAGACCAGTGCCCCAGACGTTCCAGCCATGCAGAAGGCAGTGTTTGCCAGCCTCCTCCACAGCTACTCCACCGATGAAGAGCCCCGGCATCAGGCCTGCCCTCATGGAGAACATTCCTGGTGTCACTTCAATCGCCAGAAAGCGCTGGAGGCAGCAGGAGAGCCGACGAAGCCACAGCCACACCGCCCTGCCTTCTCCAGAGACATCGCAAAGGAGTTGGTGCCCCTCTACAATAGACTCTCAAGGCGGGACCTACTCGAGAGGTGTGCTAGGATGGGAACGCAGAACAACAACGAGTCGTTCAATGCTCTGGTGTGGAGGTGGTGTCCCAAGACGGATTTCGCCTCTCGAAGAACTGTGGAAACTGCCGTGGCTCTTGCCGTCCTGGAATTCAACCTGGGCCCCAAGGGCTTTGAGAGGGCCCTTCATGAAATGGGAATCGAACCCGGAAGCCACCAGGTTCAGCACGCTGACAAGGCCCTCCAAGCCAAGGTCTCCAAGGCGAAGCAGAAGGCCCTCAACTCTTCGAAAGTGGCCCATAAGCAAAGGAAGCTGGCAGCAATCGCCAAGGCACAGAGGGACCAGGCAGCCGAAGGGGAGACCTACTCTGCCGGCGCCTTTTAGTGGACACAGACTGGGCCAAACTAATAAAGTAAAGGTGCTCAATGTTTGAATGCGTTTTTCTCAGTTTCACTTTTTTGCTGCAAACTTTGTAGCAAGGAATCTATCGTTTGATGGTAAACATATCCAGGTGCCTCGTTCAAAGTGTTTCTGAACTGAAATTTACTGGGGAATTGGGCTATCTACTTCATTTTGTTTTAAGTTGAAGTCATCACTGAGAAAAAGTGACATTTTGGCAAAATGGCATTCAAAGAAAGTGCATATCATTTTTGGAGACAGAATTTCTCTCCGAAATCTTTACATTTTAATCATACAAATTAGATAGCCCAAAGCCACATACCCTCTACTTCATATCCAAGCAATAAAAACAGTGGTTTAACATTTCATTTTCATACGATAGATTTCCTAAGGAAAGGTGCCACAGCCTCATACACAAATATGTAACTTTTTACATAATTCTCCTATAGAAGTCAAAGTTTGCACAGTGTCCCTGCATCTGCTAATAAATGCACTCTCCAAATTTCGTTAAAATCGGACGAGGAGTTCAAAAGTTAATAATTACGCCAGTGTCTCCCCTTAAGATGGAACAACGAAAGAAATTCCACTAGGAAGCTTTATTTAAACTAAAGGCGATCACGCTGGAGGGAAAGGATAACAACAGAGCAGCACTGCGTGGCCTCGCGATCCCAGCGACCCTTCGAGCTCGCAAAGTGTTTGGAGGACGACCCTGCCAAAGGAGACAGTCGCGTGCTCGAACAAGTGCAAGAAGCTCAGCGCATGCTGCGCCATCATAGCATTAGATCACAGTCACCTGAGTAACCTGCAGGCAAAGGACGCAGAACGCCACAAGTTAGTCACTGGCGAGCGACATAAACAGCCTGTACAACAACGAGAATGATGTCCTCACGAAAGAAACCATGGAGAAAGAATTGTCATTCCCGCCACACTCCGAGAGTTTGTGATGGCGATTTTTCACGACAACTCGGGACACATGGGAACGGAAAAGACGAAGGAACTCATCCTATGAAAGTTCTGGTGGGCGACCTTGCTCAAAGACGTGCGTCGTTACGTACAGTCCCGCCGCACATGTCAGACGATTAGCATGCGCACAACACGGAGCAAAGGCTGCTTAAGGCCTCGCGCCATCCCGGTGGAGCCCAACATGGTTATCTCACTGGACTGCCTCCGTCCAGTCGACACGAGCGAAGACAGGGGCTATGTTCTCGTATGTGTTGACTACGCCACAAGATACATGGACGCAGCGGCTGTACCAAGCACTGCATCAACGCACTACATGGATTTTTTATGAACCGATGGATTTCTCTATTTGGGTTGCCGGAAGTCATCATTACAGATAGAGCACAAGGTTTTGTGAGCAAACGCACGACAGCTCTCTATCGTCTCCTGGGAATGGAACACGTCAACACTCCACCCTACTGGCCACAGTCGAGCGGTCTCGTCAAAAGAGTGGTTGGAGCAGAGTTTTGAATGATGCGACGCTGGCCACAAACGTCAGCGAGGACAAGCACAGTAACCGGAGCCGCCTCTGGATCATGCATGGAAACAACCCGAAGCTTCCGGGAGAACTTAACATCGGTTCAGTCAATGAAGATGTATCCGACAGCGAAACGCTTCACGAGCTCGCCAAAATACGAGCTCGCCAAAATACGAGACCAGGGCCGGCCTGCGGGCAAGTCAGTGGTACTCCAGGCTCCGGTACAGCAGGGAAAGGGGAACTCCAGATATTAGAACAGGAGACACCTTTCTTCTCCAGAGCGGCACCAGAAGCGCTCCCTGGACACGTGGTTCGACGGACCCTATGAGATAACTGACTCCCTCGAAGACAATTTGGTTACGAATCGCCATTTTTCGCCAGCATGGAAAATTAAATATGAAAATAGTCAACGTGGAAGGGATTCGACTCAACGAGCGGGATCTGAATCCGGCAGAACTTTTCACCATGGCCGAGGGACCTGGTGATCTGAGGACAGATCACATTTAGACGAGGACGTGTCAGTGTCACGCACCTTCCGCGTGGAAGCCACTGAGCCTGATAGACAGAGACCCAGACAGTCGACCAAAATTTCATCCAGACTAGGCTTTCCCCTGGCCAAGGCAAACGCAGACAGGCGTCGGGTTTCAGCTCCTCGAGGAAAAGCCCCCTCCCCGAGAGACGGACTCCTGGACGGTCGCCGGACGGACGCCCGTACGAAACGGACGGGACGGAAGCTCTACCTTCCGCCATAATGTAGCTCCAGTTAATAAACATCTTGTTAATTTTAAATCAACCCCAGTCTACGCCTTAAGCCTACAATCACCTACGAACTCCTAAAAACTAGACAAGATAACCTGACAGGTGCATGCTTTGCTTACTGCTCGTGACTGTACACAAATAAATTGGTGCGAGCCTCAACATGTTGGCCTCGAGCAACCGAATCGATGGCACCGCAATCAATGCAAAAGAAAAACTGACTCACATAGTTGCGACCGTACGTGGCCTCACAGCAGATATGAAGGATGCTAATGGTTTGGAACCAATTTAGAGCTCTTTGTCTCTCATGAATAACATGAATTATTATGAAATGCAATGTTTCATGATTTAGCATCTGTGACATGTACAACTACCATACTGCTGTGTACCAGCGTAGTCTCAATGGGAGCTCTTCCAAATTCGCATTGTGCGGCCTGTTAGCCAGGCAGTATTTTCAGATGTTTGATTGGCTGCCTTATAAAAAATCTGGTCAGAAAAATTGGTCAATTGAGGTGAGTTTTGTTCTGGAAAATGTGTTTGTGTCATTGAACTGATGTGCCAACTTCAAATTAAAATAGTGAAGTAACCATTTTGATGAGGGCGTTAAAGTAGTGAGGCGGTTATTTTGACTTTGGGTGTCTAATATTCACGGCCTGTTTAGGACATTAGCGGCTCATTGCGAATTGTGTCAAACCTTAGAGAAGGTCTCTTTAAAGGAGTTGTCACATGATGTTTGTCTTTAGTAGAATTACGATGTTCGAGTTTTATTAAGGCAGCAACTTTAATAACAACTTTTTACTTTTTTTTAGCCTTGCTTGTATGTTTGTGTGGCCTGATTGTTTCAATGGCTATCAAGCTTTGTATGGCAGACAGCGCAGGGCTTTGCTATTCTCGTGAAATATCACATCGCGGTCTCTCTTGCCGCAGACTGCCGGGATAGACGTCAGGCTGTGCGACATCGGCGAAGCCATCCAAGAAGTGATGGAGTCCTACGAAGTTGAACTAGATGGAAAGACTTACCAGGGTGAGTCATCCTGACCACGCACATTTTGCTTGGAGGGTGTTACTTACCGCATTATCTTTGGTTGCAGTGAAATCGATCCGGAACCTGAACGGCCACTCCATTGGACCTTACCGCATTCACGCGGGCAAGACCGTGCCCATTGTGAAGGGCGGGGAGGCAGTCAGGATGGAGGTAATCTGAATTTGTTCTACTTTTGTTGGATAGTGTTTGTAGCATTGCTTCTAGAACCTTTTTATTGGCAAACTTAAGAAATCCTCAAAAGCAGTATCGAGCACAGTATCCCAAAAGATTGTCCACCCCACTCCGAGACCCAAATGGGGTGAAAAAGACAGGAAAGACACCAACTAAATGTACGAGACAAAAAAAAAAAAAAAAAAATTGTGAAAAGTGCTTATTTTTGTTTCTCAGCCGCCTACGTACACATCAGCTGCTCTAGAGCAGCATTTCCCGAGCATTATGTCGCCAATGGCCCCCTAGCTATCGTGGGGCCATTTGCGAACCCCACTGACACCAATGTGTCGCATACATTGGGGAACTGTCGTCACCACAAATCACAAAGAGCTCCTTCCAGCCGCATAAAAATCTCGTTTGTCATCAGCATCTTGTGGACCAGCTCAGAAAAAGTGGTCTCGGAGTGGAAAGTGGTAATGGCAAAGCATATCTGAGTGCTTTCTTCGAGTAAGCGTGTTGAGAAAATAAACCAGCAAGGGCAATCTGGCTCGTGAGAACTTTGTCTTAGGTGCAAGACGTTCGATTCAATGATTTTACCTTTCTTCACTGTCTCACCTTTCCCTTGGGGCTGTACTGACCAAATTTTGAGAACTGTCACTCTAGTCTGTGCCACGAGCGTCGAAATATTTGAAAGGCAATGGCAGTGCTGGGTCAACTCGCTTGCCCTCGAAAGTTGTCAAAGAAGAGCTGCAGTTGCTTTGATCAACAAATCTGACATTGCTAATCCTGCTGCACTTATTGTCTAAATCCAGGCCGCATAATTTTTATGGTCACTGAAGAGGTGGGAATGGGAGGGCGGAGCTTTAGTTTCCCTGCCTCCAGTGCGAGCTTTTTACCTTTGACAATGCTTCAGAGTCTCGCATATCACAAGCGCCACGCGTGCTGCCAAAGCATGGTGGAAGGCATGGCTCGTGTGCTGGGGGCTGGACGTTTGAGAGATATGCCCAAAAGAGGGTCTATCATTTTTCTTTTTTAAAAAAAGAAAGTTTAACAGAAACTGTGTAGACTATCATTCTCTTTATTGCACTCATGTGGAATCACTCAAGTTGTACACCTGCATTTAGTTTCCTTCTCAGCTGCGTGACACCTGAAAGCAAAATATTTGTCATAGAACGTAGACGGAGTGCTTGCATGCTAATTGGCAAGACATTGTAACCTGATTTATTTTTAAGCCCGCATAATTATTGTTTGTTTCTCTTATATTTACAAAAGCTTTAGGAAGCTTGGGTCTTACATTCACTGCTGAATTTGACAGCAACAGCAAATGTTTATTAGTGATTGTTTTGTATCAGTGTGCCCAGGGTAAGTTAGTTACCCTGGACAGGCTGAGTCAAGGAAGATCCTCCAGAAGACTTGTCATTCACCAAAACCCTCCTCTTGACAGGAGGGAGAAGTGTATGCCATTGAGACATTTGGCAGCACTGGCAAAGGTTATGTGCACGACGACATGGAGGTGTCCCACTACATGAAGAACTTTGATGCAGGCCGGGTACCCCTCAGGTGAGTCCTGCTTCTTGAGGCTGGCTCAAAGATTTTCTTTACTGGAATTTTCTTGTTGTTATCCTAGGCCTACAAACTACCTTGCCTCACAATGCAACATTGAGCACATGTTCATGCTGGATGCAACAGACCTGTTGAAGATATTACTTATAGGTTAAATTTTATGGCTGTGGTGCTTTAACCAAAACTGGCTAACAGTGTGCTGAACTAGTAGATATTTACATTCCTGGCTTTATTTGTATTTAACCTAGGCACTTCCTGAGTATTTCGGCCTAATGCTGCCTCAGTGCCATATAAACCAAAATGTCTTCAAAACTTAGTACTACCGTAAAGTCCCGAGAGAACGCCCGCACCCGAGAGATCACCCATCCCATTTTTTTTGGCTGTATATTCGTAGCATTAAAATTCAGAAAAATCGCCCACCCCACAATTCCCACTGAGTGTCGATCACGCGATGTGTGTAGGGAATCGCATTAACCATGCGATCTGCGATATTGTTATATATGACAAGCATGTTCGCCGTGGGTTCTGTCTTGTTTATCGCAACGCAACACATTAATCTGCTGCATCCACAATCTGCGGTATCTGTTCCCATGACATGTATGTTTGTAGCGGGTTCCTGTCCTTTTGTCCACGATTATCACGCGCGATATTGGTTCCCGTGAAACCGTAGTTTATAGCGGGTTCACACACATTTATAGCACTGTGAAGTGTGCATGTGCTGCGTCCGCATTCTGCAGTATCTGTTCTCCTCAATCTGCAGTATCTGTTCTCGTGACGGGAGAGTTTGTAGCAAATTCCCACATACTTATCGCACCGTGAGACCCGGATTTGCTGTGTCCACGATCTATGTTATCAGTTCCCAATTTGCGCAGTTTGTAAAAACAGCCCCCCCCCCCCCACATCCCACATCCCACCCTTTTCATGCTTATTGCCAATTTTTTATGAAATATTGTTGTTGCATTCCCAAACATCGCCCACCCCATATTTTCAACATTTATCTCTTCACTTTGGGTGGGCGTTTTTTTGGAACTTTACGGTAAGCATAAAATAAATTTTACTGTGGGAATGCATCTAAATTTCAGTGTCATTATCAAAACTTGTGTTTTTGAGTTCAAATTGAGGGATAATTGACCGTGCTGCAATTATTTTTGCGGCACGGTCAATAATGCATTCCTTGTTGTTGCCTTGCACCAACAAGGAATGCATTCTTCGTTGCTGAACTCGTAAATGATTGCCAGCTCTGGTCACACTTTCTACCTCTGTAGTATTGGTTTAAACATGCGTCTGTTTCTTGAATACGATTCCTGCAAAAGTCTGATTCCATGAGCTGCTTCAGAGCTTGGGTGCTGTAGAGCCAATAAATGAGCCATGTTTCAGGGTGGCGACACCTCGGCCATCTTGGTGCTTGAAATCATTGTTGCCAGTTATCTGAAATTGCAGGAAATGTTCTTCAGTCTTCCAGAAATACTAAAACCGTCTGCAACCGAGCAAAGTGACGTCGCCCCATCCTCTTGACGCTGTACCTAAAGCCGAGAAAGTCTCATTTCCGAATCGTAACGATAACCAATTGCGCCCGCCCTGCACTAGGCATCGAAATGGCGGTGGCCACGAGAAAATCGGGGAACAGAGTGTCGGTACCCTGAGCATAGTTTATTTAGTGGCTCTATACTTGTAGTCACCTCAAGAACCGTAGTAGGAAATGTACGGCTTCTCGCGGAACATTACTGAGTTACCTTTTTATGTGGTGAATTATTATATAGTCAAGCCCAGTTATAATGAATCCGCTTATAGTGAATTAGCGGTTACAACGAAGAGATTTTGATTTCCCATTCCCATTTATGCATTTTCAATGCAATTTGGGTCCAGTTTTAACGAAATAAATTTTAAAAAGCCTCAACGGAGAGAACAAGAAATTTCGTGCTGACCGAGTAAAATATCTATCGATTACAATAATTTACGACCATTCCGGTAAATTTTAAGCAACAAAACCAGTGAAATTTCAGCTGCCAGCAGCCTCCACAGCGTGGTCTACTCTCCCCTTCGCATTGCCCCTATAAGATTGCTTCACCGCACTACCTCATGTGGTGCCGTGTGTTTGAGGCTCTCTAAAACAAGCGAAAGAGAAAAAAAAAAAGACGTCGATTACGGCATATTTTTTGGTGGCCAATCATCGTTGTCTCTTTTTTTTCCTGTCACGTGATATGATTGTGATACGACAGGTACAACTGCTAGAGGCGCCAGAGTTACATCGGACTCTGCTGGGGTAGCTAACGCGCTGTTGATCCGTTCGCGTACTCGCGAAGCATTTGCAAGTAACACTTGTATCGTGCTGACGCCATCCTGCTCTGCTCCTTCTGCGGTCTTGATAGTTCTTTGACCCTGATTTCCCCTTGACAACTTTTAAACTACAGACTTGAACTATTAGACTTCCACGGAATTGGCTCGGGCCGCCCCTGCCTTCTTCCAAATCACCAACTTGTCGATGATGTCCAGTTCCGCGAGCCCCGGGATAATGGCGAGAAAAAGAAACGAGCTGTCCTTGAAGCTGAAGCGCGCCATTTTGGACGAAGCCCGCAGGAACGTCGAGAAGACCGATATTGTGCGGTCTACTTTGTTTAGCAAGATCAATGCCATTTTGGATGACGATGTTGGTGGCGGGGATTGGAAAAGAATCCGAGGTGCCTCTGGGTTGGTGGCACCTCGGATTCTTTTTTGACATAGAAGCGGCACTTTACAAGTGGTTTGTGGATACCCACGCAAAGAACATCCCGCTGAGTGGACCACTCGTGCTAGGAAAAGCCAAAGATTTGGGCTTTGTTCTTGGCCAAGATGACTTCTAGCCAGGATATGTGTGGCTGCAACACTTCAAAGAGAGGCACAACATCACGTGCAAGAACATTGTCAGTGAGGCCGCGCCCTAAGACAATCGGTCATTCCAAAAGTGGATGGACAAGAACCTGGAGTGCATGCTTGGAACATACGCCGACAAGGTCATCTACAACACGGATGAAATGGGACTGTTTTTTCAGCTGCTGCCGACAAAGACACTAGCGGCCAAGACTGACAAATGTGTAGGAGGCAAAAACAGCAAGAACAGCATTACGGTGCTCATCTGCGCAAACATTAACTGTTCAACAAGCGCGATCTGCTGGTCTTCAGCAATGTGAAGAAACCACGAGGCTTCGCTAAGGTGCTGTCCATGCCGGTAGCAAATAGGAACAACAGGAATGGCTCGTTCACACTTGCGAAATACACGCTCGCCACCGACTGGATTCGCTCGCCAAAAAAGATCGGGCCGTTCACATTTGTTGCCGCCTGCGGAGTGCACGGCGTGAGCGTCTCGCAGTTTCCCGAGCTGACAAAAGCTCCCAAACCTTCTCCTTGCCCGCGCGCGTCTCGTTGCCATCGTCGCCAGCTCATCAGCGGGGATCTGACGTCAGCAAGCACCACTTCCCCTGTGCGTTCAGATTGGCTTGCGGCGAGAAAAAACTTTTTTCCGACGTTCAAAATTGGTCCCAGAGTGATCTTGCTCTCCGCCGAAAATTCTGCCCGCTTTCGTCGTCAGGCGTCAGAAATCTCGCGGATCCGGCCGCCGGTTCACAAGCGTGAACAAGGCAGAACGCCTGGATGACACAAGATATCTTCAGCAAGTGGCTCACAGAGTTCGACAAGACAATGGGTAAAAAGAAGCTCAAGGTGTTGCTGCTATTGGACAGTTGCAGCGCTCATCACATCAGCGTTCACCCGAGCGCTGTCAAGGTGCCATTCCTGCCCCCAAACATGACTTTTTAAGCTGCAACCAATAGACCAAGGTGTCATCACAGATTTCAAAATGCTTTATCGGCGCTCAGTGATCGAGCGTTTGCTCATTGACATTCACACCGCTAGCGAACCCAGCCAACCTGAAGTTCTCGTTGGTGTAGGCCGTCTTCTTTGCAAGCGGAGCCTGGAGGAACATTAAGGCAGGCTACCCTCCACTGCTTCCAAAAAGGTTGCTTCTCGAGAAGCAGCAGTACTGAGTGGAAACCTGCTGGAGACAGAGCAGTAGCAGCTGATGGTGCCACAGCGGCGAAGTGCTTGGGGCGGCTCTGGGAGTCTGCCAGAGAAGTCGACCTCGTGCCTCCTGGCTTGGACCAGATGGACTTCGTCTTTGCCGATGACAACATTCTCGCTACGGAGGACGTGTCTACCGAGGACACTGCCTCTGACGATAAATGTGACGACGACCGCGCTTTGCTCGCTGCCTGTGACCACAGGAGCAGCCATTGCTGCAGTCCACTTGCTGCGAATGTATTTTGGGGGTTCCAATCCGAACTTTGACTAGCAGCTCAACGACATTAAGGCCACTATCCTTCTACGCGTGTTCACGAAATGCATGCAGGGAACCTTGGATGGCTTCCTGCAGAAGAAATAAACATGTTTCCCGAGGTGATCCATTTTATATATTATGTTTTTTAGTTTGGTTATAACAAAATAGCGGATACAGCGAAGTGGTTTCCAGTTCCCACCGACTTCGTTATAAACGAGCTAGACTGTACGTGGGTGAACTTTAGATTAGCTTGCCATTATTTTATCAAGACGTACACATTCCAAATGCCAAAAGCATAGTTTTCTTCCTCAGTCAACCAAATCTTGTAAGAACTACTTCGGACAACGCATAAATAATGCGCAAAACTTTTTTTTTTTTGTGGTGAGTATAGGTTCCGACATGTAGAACCTCTTCGTGCTCATTATCATCAGTAGCCCTGCCTGGTTTGAAATTAACTTCCTTCAACTGAGGCTTCTTTTTCTCGTCTTGTGCACAGGCTGCCCCGGTCCAAACAGCTGCTGAGCGTGATCAACCAGAACTTTGGGACGCTGGCGTTCTGTCGTCGCTGGCTAGATCGCCTGGGCCAGTCCAAGTACCTGATGGCCCTGAAGGATCTCTGTGACAAAAGCATTGTGGACCCGTACCCTCCTCTGTGCGACACCAAGGGGTGCTACACAGCACAGTTTGAGCACACCATCATCCTTCGCCCTACCTGCAAGGAGGTGGTCAGCCGTGGAGAGGACTACTGACCCCGGCCTGGGCCTAACTCTTGTTTGCCTTGGCTTCTGCTTCAGAGACTTCCTTGGCACACAGTGCCCGATTGTTTTCTTTGTTCCTGATTTGGTTTATGTAAGGAGCAGCCTGGAAATGAAAAAGAAAAAAAAAGAAACATTGCTGCTAGTGTTCTCAACAGAGGTTGCATTTTTTCTAATTTTTTTTATTCTACTTTAAAAGGAGGGTTTGATTTGTTGTTGTTTGGAACAAGATAAAGGATGGATCCCTATTTTGGGTTGGTTGGCGTGTCTTTCCTAATGTTTATGTTGTTTCTAATGGTTAAAAAGTTTGCTTCTGATGGTGCCTTGGAGGAAGGGTAGTACTTTTTTTTTTCTTCCCTGATGTGATGATGTGGTTATTTATTTACCTCGTTAAGAATATGCTCTTGTGAAGTGAAAGATTTATACTGTCAATTTTCTGAGCTCTGCTGTAGCCAGGGTAAGATCATTGAGGGTTCCAATCAACTTGGGGAGCCATGCAAGATGGCAGGACGAAGGGACCGGCACATTGCCGCCTGCTGCGATTGGTCAGTACCATGCCGCTGACCAATCGCAGCAGGCTTCAGTGTCCCGGTCCCTTCGTCCTGCAGTCTTGCCTACCCCTTAGGTGTCACAAATATGGCCTTTCTAAAAACAAAAGGGGCATTATCTGTACCCTCCCCCATTTACTTCATTTTTTTTTGTCCTCCATTGTTTTGAACTCGGTTTTATTTTTTTATTGTACCTTGGTCTCAAGATAATTTTACATCATGGTAAACTTCCATGATCTTGTCTGCACTCTTTTATCCGAAAAGGCTGCTTTGGCTAACGAATTAGATTACACGCTGCAAAGCAGTGTTACTTTGGCAGAACAGTGCTGTTTCATTGCCTGAGGTAAGATTCGGTTTGGCAAGAAATAGCATGTCGGTATCATCGGAGGTTGAGAGTTGTGATGCCGATGTTTTGCAAAAATGGGGATGCTAGCGAGCTGGTCAAACTTCTTGCTTGATTTAACAATGATCCCACCGTAGCAGAACGAAACATCCCGTCGCAGGCCACTGGTCACTATTTTCTTTTTTTGCGCTTTCAATGATTGTATTCATCATTTTTACTTGCTTCTTTCTCATCAAGCTGTAAATGTCAAAATCTAGCAGTTGTGCTTAGAGGGGCCCTGCAAGCACTTTTTTACTGGTTTTTAATTTGCACGAAACCTGAGCGCACTGGCCGTAGTAACTTTTCTTTTGTCGAATTTTGTTTTATTTTAAAAGTTATAAATCAAAATTACAAACAGTCGAAAAGATCGTCTGCTAGAGACGCCGGCTTTCGGTGCCGTATGCCAGGGATCCTGGGTTCGAGCCCCACCCCTGCCCGTTTCGATCTGGATGAGCATCGTACCGGCGTGCGGTCGTGTATCACTACTGCGTGGTGCACGTTAAAGACCCCAGGCTAGCGGCTGTACCGCACTGGCTAAATTTCTCATCTACAGCTGGGAGACTCGTCGCCCCTGTGAGGCAGACGAAGTTCTAGGCTGTATAAGCACACACACAACCCAATTTTTATGCTCGTTCGTTGGCGCGGTTGGCATCGCGACCGCTTGCGCCTTCTCTTGTCTGCCGTGCGAAACGGCGTCGTATTGTTCGAAGACCTTTGGCTTCGCCGCATTTCCATAGGAGCTAAGCCTTTTTCTTTTTTTACTTTTTCCTCAGGTAAGTTTGCTCTGCAAATTTTACAAAAAGAAAAAAAAAAATGCACCATCTGTGGGCAACGCTGCACAAAGTCTTAGCGCGATAGGTTAAGAAACCGAATTTTGCGGTCGATTTAAAGAGCCTGGTCTCTTCTTGATACACCCGGTAGAATGGGAGTACGTAAGCAAGGTACGCGAGTTCTTTTATTTTCTGTGGAGCAGTTTTCAGGTTACGTTAACAAAGTCAAGTGCTCTGTTCATAATTTTATCTTAAAAAAAACGCAGTTAATTGATATATCAATTAAAAGATCATATGCAAAAGTCCATTGTCACGCGCCCTCGTGATGCTCAGGAAATCTGAGCCGACTTTGAGAAAGCAACACCCCAGTACTGGTTCAAAATTCGTCCCATGAAAGGAGGAAAAATGCAACTAATTCTGGCTGAAAAAAAATGGTCGGAGGTTCGCCGCCTTTATGGAAGAGGGCGCCACCATGCCGTAAAACCACTAAAGCGCAGCAAAAACCTCGGCGCTGGTGTGCGTTTGACCCAGACATGTACAAGTTACTCAAAAAAGTAATTAAGTTAGTGAGAATTGACGTCAAATGTAATTTGAGTAGAGTAAAAATTACTCAAATAGAAAGCAATTGAGAAAATGATCAATTACCGTAAAAAAGTAGCGAATTACATTTAAAGTTACTTTATATGTTTTTATGGTAAAAATAAACTAGAGGTTTTAATCCGTTTGCGAAATTGTGCTAGCCAAATATGAATCTGCTTGTTTTTTTGTTTTTCACAGAACTACTTTAATAGCTGGTTCTGCTTCTGCGTGCTATAGTTGTTTTCTACTTTCTTGTTTGTTTGGTCAATGATGTACTGCGAATGTGCAATTTGTACCTTAAGGTTTAGCACTCTCTCAGCTTGATTTTCTAGACAGTGTTTGCTTGTTTACGGTGTTGTATAAAGCACATTTAAAAAGTACTTGAAGTAAAGCACAAAGTGAATGAGAGGTTATATACTTCAAGCGAAGTAGTAAGTATACTGGGTGCAAAGCACTTGAAGTAGCATATATAAATACAATGTATTTCAAGGTAAAATACAAGCACTTTTAACACAACCTTTCATGATGCCCTTTCATTCCCTATATTGTGTTTTTTTTATTAGTATGCATTGCTCCAGGGGTAATCCAAGGTGCATCAGTTTTTTTTACGGAAATGGCAGCAAATATTGTATGAGGTCACGTCACCGCAGAGTAATTGTTTTACTCTCGCTGACGAGCTATTTGACACAATCAACTCAAAGGCACTTGTAAATATATTTCCATCGGTCTTACAGCCGCCATTACTCCACTCAGAGAAATTACGAGATGACGTCTCGGAAAAGCATGTTATCACGCGGCGATACCGCCATTTTTTGTTTTCATATTCGGGCACTGTACATTGAAGTCGAAAGTTTTACATTCCTCGGAAAATACAAGTACATGTTAAAAGAATTTACTTCAAGTACAATTTTTCTAAACAGTAGTACTTTAAGTATCATGTACATAGACTACTTCCCAACACTGCTTGTTTATTATTTTTTATATAAAAAAAGTGAAAGGCCGTTTACAACTCCCTGTAACGCCAAATTAGAGCGCAGCTCTTGAGAGGGAGGAGGGATGGGTACTGAGGGTCACGTGCTCTCGGGGGGGGGGGGGGGGCTCACGTGACGTTGGGGGGGGGGGGGGTCAAGTGACCTCGGGAGGGGGGTTCACGTGACTCCCTAGGTCACGTGACCCCCAGAGAAATTTTTCCGCTAGATTTAGCGGGGAAAATTTCCCTCCAGATTTAGCGGGGAAATTTTTCCACTATATTTAGCGGGGAAATTTTCCCGCTTGATTTAGCGGGGAAATTTTTCCGCAAGATCTAGCGGGGAAATTTTTCCGCTAAATTTAGCTGGGAAATTTTCCCGCTAGATTTAGTGGGGAAATTTTTCCGCTAGATATAGCGGGGAAATTTTTCTGCTAGATTTAGCGGGGAAATTTTTCCGCTAGATTTATCGGGGAAATTTTTCCGCTAGTTTTAGCGGGGAAATTTTTCCGCAGATTTAGCGGGGAAATTTTTCCGCTAGAGTTGGCGGGGAAATTTTTCCGCTAGATTTAGCGGAAAAAGCGACGCCGCTCAAGCCGGAAGCGGGCGCCTATAAGAGCTGTGCTCTAAAACGTTGGGGGAATTACTACAGGTTTCTCGAACGATCTATGAATCTTTGAAAATCTGTATATTCTGAGTTTTGGGAGGAAAGGCAACGCAAAAAGGTCATCTTCGCGTTGGCCTTTAGCACGCGATTCTTTGAGTACAGCACAAACTTAGGGAGCACAAGATGAGTTTCATCTTGTGTTCCCTAAGTTAAGGAGCTACATTTTGTTGCCTCCTATGAGTGAGGATGCAGTGTGTAAACCTCCTGAAGTGGCCGGGAGTTACTACGCTGGGGAGAAGCGGAGGCCAGCCCTTTCTTCAAAAGGGTCGAGTCTCCTTGAGCTTCGGGACACAAAGAAGCGCCAGTGTTCGGCGCAAATCCCGCAGTTACTCGGCATCTTTTGCGTCGTGTCTGTTCGCTCCCCGCGCCTCGTAGCAGTGTTGTTGCGATTCTGGGGGGGGGGGGGGGGCTGTCTTGTGAAAATTTAAGGGGGTGTTTCAGACTCTCCAAACCATTTTCTCCCCCCTCCCCTTTCCTACGCCACATGCTTCCCCCTCTTTGCAAATATCAGCTGATCTTCTAACATCTTATCTCCTTTGTACAGGAATGTTTGTTGATAGGCAAAACAACCACTAAAATTCGAAAGTAATTTGTAACTTAAGTAGAAGTTACTAAAAGAAGTAATTAAAGTAAACTACTAATTACCGAAATAAAAATGTAATTGAAAATTAATAAACTACCCAGAAAAGTAGTGTAACTACAGTAACTTGAGTAGAGTAGTTCAACTACGTACAAGTCTGGTTTGACCTCTTATGTAAGAAATTCATAACAAAGCAGGGCCCTGCGACGAAAAAGAGGCGGAATCGGAATGTGACAATACACAGCTGATAAAATTTGAAAGGAATAATAATAAAAAAAAAAAGAATAAAAAGCACACATAAACACAAAAAAAAAAAAAAATATATATATATATATACAGGCGAGCTGGTGAACTTTATACTTGGTGGAATCCCGAGATCGAGTAACTGCAGGAAAGGGAATGGTCCACGTCTTAACGTCTCGGGTTGCCACGATGTTCAAAGAAAACATATGTTAACAAATAAAACTGGTGCCCAATAACGATTAATTTCTCGTTCGCATCAACTTTTCAATCTAATATAAAATTTGGACTCATTCCACTTTGTGAAGTTGGATGACCAGCGAAGCTGTTTAACACACGACACAGACCCGCCCCGAGGAGCCGGGGGAAACAAGACACGCTCGACGGGACCGCCACCCAGCGGAAAGTAGACACGCCAGAGCCGTTTATACTGGGAGAGTTTGGCCCTCTTAGGGAGATTTTGTCGGCCTGGCAACCACAGCAGCGTAGTCTAACAACCGGGGGATGACTAGTTC